ATATGTATATAGATTATTGCTATTTTGAAATAAGTTCTTAAAGTTACTTTTACTAAAACATAGAAAAGTAAATAACGAAATAAGCAAACAATTATTTCTTCTAGTTACGACCTTTGTACTTGGTTGCTGCTTGACGTAGGTTGCTAAGCCTTTAAAGATTTTGCACTTGGAGGATATGAAACGAAATATTTTTTTAGGTTTTATATATGCATTTGAATAGCTAAAAAATTGAATACCTCCTTATGAACCTTTGAGTGTTTAGAACTATCTCGGACTTCCTTGGCTAGTGAATGATCCTTTACATACAAACCCTACAAAAATTATGCATACAAGTGTATTATGATTGTATGTTTCATTGCTATAATTTTAAAAGAAACTTAAAGATGGAGTAAACTAGCTATATTCATAAAATAAAGCTGTTTTCTTAAGAACCTCTCCTCCCTCAGAGTCTGTGACTAAGTGCAATTATAATGCAATACAGGATTTATTAGATTGTTATTTTCAATTCGTATTCTAAATGTATTTCAAGTACCAAAGAAAACTAAAATTTTTATTGCACATGAAATGATATTTTAAAATAATAATTTTGAACATAAATCTTGTACAGAGACTACACAATCTTGTACCCTTCTCAGTGGCAATAGTCAAGTACAAGGGATTTTGTTTCAATGTGTCCTTCTGAAGATATGTCAGCATATGTACACAGTTACATATAAGTTGCATATAAGAAGTTATAACTAAATACAAATGTTTAATATTTTGTTGATAAAGGAATGTAATTAGAAAAAGAAACAAAAGTACCTTTTGTATTTAATCCTGCTTGTTGTAATTTTTCTTTAACAGCTTCTTCTAGTTTTTGCTGCTGGTCTGTGTCTAAAACACGATGCTGTTGAGATTTTACTTTATCTCCTAGTGGCTCTGTTGCGTGGGTCATGTGACGGACACGAACTTTGACTTTCCCATCATCAAGTTCAGATAACACATCTTCTTTGCTCTCATCACTTGTTTTCTCATCTAATATGTTAAAAAAAATTTGTCATGGTAAATATTGAAGATCATTATGTTGTTTGTGGAAAATATAGGCTCTTAAGAATAAATCTAGTAACATTGTGGAAAGTTTGCATTTATTCCGTGTCAAAAAAACTGTTGTCCCTAATTCATATGAAAAAAATAATAACACTTTGTTTTCATTTAAATCAACAAGCATCAAATTAAGAAATCATTATGTATGTTAAAAATAATTAAAACATAACAAAAAAATCAGGATAAATATTTTTTTTCTTTTAAAGAAACACCAAAATACTGAATAATGCAATTTATCTTTGTGGATAAATTACATTAATGTTTGATTCAGTTGACTTTGCTATTATATTCATTTGACCATTTTAGATTTCACAAATACAATTAAATATGTAAACAAACATGAAATATACAGTATTATAATCACTGGAAACCTACAATATTTTGTACTAAAAAATGCATTTCTCTATACAACGATACACAACAGAAGCAAACACACTTACATGTGCAATTAAAATTTTTAAATTTTAAACGGACTGAAAAAAACAACACAAAATGCTAAGAATAGGAAATTATAAAACTAAATTTGACAAATATTAAACAAAAGCCATTTTGAATGCAACAGTTCTTGTTCTATGAAAATAAATTGGAAACTTTTCTGATGAGATAGAAAACACAGACAAAAATACAGCAAATAGAAATTACTTCAAGTAGTAATTACAGATAAGCTAAAAGTTTAGAAATTGGACCTTATGGAAATTTTGTTTAAGGCCTTTGTATTGTGTTCTTTTCCAAAAATATTAAAAGAAAATTATAAAGTTTTTAAAAAAATACAAAAATGTTCATTATCTAAATCACTTTAGGGTTAACAAAGAAACAGTGAGCTTACAAAATTTGGTGTAAGTTTTTAAAATCTTTGAGATACCTAAAACAAAAAATATTTTCGACCTCAAATATGTACGATCATTTTTAAAAGTATATAACTTAAGTAAGCCTACAGTTTAGGAATTGATAATAGTAAGCTAAGCCAACCACTGCAACAAAATTTTTCTGAACAGTATACCTGGCACAGTCCAACAAAAACTTAAAGATTATCAAACAATTAAGCATTGACTTCACCTTGCTTGTTATCACCTTCTAGGTCTTTCAGTTCATCTTCTTCCCTCACATCAAAGCTAAACTTTGGAATATCTTTTTCCATTTTGTCTTTTTTGTCTTCAGTTACTATAAAAAACAACATGAAATTAACGTTAACTTCTTTTTTATCCAGGCAAGTACATATATACTCAATAATTTATTTGTACAGGTAAACATGAATGGAATTATGATGGTACAAAAATTTCCAATATAAACATACACATTTTGTTTTATGCTATGAAAATTTAGAAAATTTTCACTGTTTTTAAAATTGCAATGTAATGTATTGTATAGGTATACAGCTTTTAGGCATAAATGACAACAGAATGATCAAAAGGATGGGAAAAAACACTTTCTTATTACATGCACAAAAAGAATCTGAATGGAATAAACTTTCAGCAATGGAGGATTGCCTGATCCAAAACATTTAAATACATCAATTATAATAATAGTGGTGGTAACACCATATTGTATTTTTATCATCAAAAGCTAATAATAATGATTATTTTATGTGCACTAAACCTTCATATTTATACAAATCTTACAAACTTATTTATACACACAAGACAAATGCAAAAATCAAGTGTGAAAAGGTCTATCTTTAATTACTAAGGAGTGTCCACTTCCATAGAGTAGCAAGTACATGAAAATTTGTTTTGTTTCCAATCCTGCTTGGTCTCAAATTTTATTTCCTAAGTTGACATAGAACCCAATAATTTGTATTGAATTCACATATTAATAATTTTAATGATGAACTAAGGCATTACCTATAAGTTTATATGCATGGTACATTTTGCTTTTATAAGAATAAAAAATTAAGATTTTTTTTCTATATGATCAAGCAAGTATTACACAATGCATTCAATTAAGTACATTCAGGAAATTTACAAAGGATATCTCCTCTCACCTTCAGCACTGTCTTCCAATACCTCAAAGTGTTTATCTTCATTTACTTCCACTGGTTTCTTTTTCTTATCAAGTTTCTTCAACAATTTGTTCAGAGTTGTAGCCAACTTCTTGAAGGCATCATCAGTTTCATCTTCATCTTGTTCTTCAAGATCCTCTTCAGCCTAATTCAAAAGAAAAATATAAATTCATCAGCTACTTTTTGATTTCACAGCTGAATGTGCTCCCGTTTATGATTTCAGTCATTTTACGTTAACCTAAATAAAACTTAACTTCAAAAAACTTGTACAAAAATAACAACACAAAACACAACAATCTCGTTTGAGCATACTGTGGCAGTATAAGTTGTTAAGAAGAGTCTTACAAGCATAACTAGTGGGTTAACCTTTTATCTTGGTTATGCAATCAAGAGGTGTGCGAGAGATCTCAGGTTCAATCTCACTTGCAATTGATGCAAAAAATAATAATAACCACGACACTTCAGAAGCAAATTAATTGTCGGAATTACATTCATTGATTAGAACTTCTTTTAAGAAATTTACCTCTAAAATTAAAATTCAAGCACTAAATAATTAAATAAAGTATCCTTTTATACTCTGTATATCCAACAATAAACTAATTTTACATAACCCAAATTCAAACAGTAAATAATTAAAGAAAGTATCCTGTTATGTAAAATTAGTTTATTGTTGGATATACAGAGTATAAACAAATTCAAACACTAAATAATTAAAGAAAGTATCCTGTTATGTAGAATTAGTTTATTGTTGGATATACAGAGTATAAACAAATTCAAACAGTAAATAATTAAAGAAAGTATCCTGTTATGTAAAATTAGTTTATTGTTGGATATACAGAGTATAAACAAATTCAAACACTAAATAATTAAATAAAGTATCCTGTTATGTAAAATTAGTTTATTGTTGGATATACAGAGTATAAACAAATCCAAACATTAAATAATTAAAGTATCCTGTTATGTAAAATTAGTTTATTGTTGCATATACAGAGTATAAACAAATCCAAACATTAAATAATTAAAGTATCCTGTTATGTAAAATTAGTTTATTGTTGGATATACAGAGTATAAACAAATCCAAACACTAAATTATTATTAAAGGAAGTATCCTGTTAAAACTTATTTATTGTCAGATATACAGAGTATAAACAAATTCAAACACTAAATAATTAAAGAAAGTATCCTGTTAAAACTTATTTATTGTCAGATATACAGAGTATAAACAAATTCAAACACTAAATAATTAAAGAAAGTATCCTGTTAAAACTTCTTTATTGTCAGATATACAAAGTATAAACAAATTCAAACACTGAATACCTTTAAATGACTGGTTAAACTAGAAGTAAATGCTCTTTAGAAGGCTCCTTAAGTTATCAGATTTAATTACCACCATGCACTCTAAAATGACACTTAATATAAAATTTGGTATAATTCTGAGAATCATGAAAAATTAAAGATAATTTCTATCTATACAAAATCTCAACTACTGAAATATAACCATAGTAAAATACAAGTAATTCATACCAAGTTCAATGGCATGTAATAAACAAAAACAAGCTAAAAGTGTGTAACTATTGCAGTCACTGTATTTTAACCTTACAAAGTTTCTAGAAAAGTACAACTTTCTTCACAATAAGGTGAAGTAATCCAGTTAAAAAAAAAGATATAAAATGTTATATTCATCTTAATCTAATTATCAAGTTCTATTAATACCGGAATAAGTAAAAATAGATTTAATGATTTTTTTTTTGTAAATTTCTGTTTTAATCTCATATAGAATCTAAGTTTACCTTATCCGTCAATTAATCCCAAAAAGTAAATTCTCTTCTCACATAAGCACATGAATAAATTATAATGTAAGCCTTACGTGAAAATGCATCATAAATAACAAATTCAAATTAGGACATAATAACTACAAGATTCTTACAACTGTATTTTTTAACTCAACCTCACCTCATTTAAAATAGTATCTAATTGATGTGAAATCTGACGGTGGAGTTCACCTTCATTTTTAATGGTCTCTTCAGTATCTGAATTAAAAAAAACAATACAATTAAATTCTTCATAAATAGGAAATCAATTCTATTGAAACTGAGTGCAAGCAGTTCAACATACATTGCTTTTTTTCATTGTTAGAAACCTCAAGCATTATCTTTACTTTTCTAATAACAAAAACACTTTTTTATGCATTACTATTACTATTAACAGCATTACTCCTAAAAGTATTTGTATTTTGAATTTAAAGCCAAGCTACTGAGGCTTTCTGCTACTGCTTCTAACTTTAAACTAGAGACCAGAGAAAAGGCAGCTAGTCAGTATCACCCCACCATACATGCCAGGGAATTGACTGTCACTCTTTAATATAACAACCACACAGCTTAAAGTGTGGGGAATACTTTGTGGTATTACATGAATTTGGACCTGGTTCACCAGCTACAAAATCCAAAGCACTATCACAGGTCCAACCCCTAATCCAATCCTCAAGGTAAACAACTTTTAAGGCATATGTGATCTTGCTACATCTCACTGCACCAGTTTTATTATCTCAAATTTGGCTCACCTGAAACTTTTATTATAAATTTAGTGATAATAATTCAACAAACCTCAAATACTACTTATTAACAGTAAATAATGAGAAAAGCATAAGAAATACAGCAAGTGGGCATACACACAAACACACCCATTAGTTTACACTTGTGTAATCTCTTAATGAGGTTACACTTATAAGTTTACAACAAAAAAATTGCAAATACAGGTTAACTTACTTTAACTCTATAAACAAAGAAAATAATTAGTTTTTATTTTGAGTTTACCACTGTTTATTAATGCATTAAACACTGATCTATGTTACCAACAATAACTATTTCAAACACATTTACAACTATACATTAACAATAAAACTGAAAATTGCTTCCGGTTAAGAACCAGTTTCAGTTGTTTGGGGAGTAGAGTTTTTTGATCCTTGATGTACATTCATCAGTTGCATATGAATTCAAAATCATCAGTATTGCAAATGTTAAACATATATATTAAGGGTAAGATAAATTATGTTCATTACCCTAAAACCAACTTATAAACAGAACCACTTCTCTGTTTCACTGTTAATAAAAGTGAAACTTTATTCTATACCCTTAAAAACAATTGCTTAAACCAAATGATTGACACTGAACTGTCTTACTAAATCTTTTAACAAAGAAGGAAACTAATACTATTTGTAGTTGCTAATTAACATTTGACTATAAACCAATTACTCACTTTTTTTAATACTGAAATCATTATATATATTTTTTTTTCTTAAGCTATATGCTTTAGAAGGAGAACCCAAATAATCCTGATGATAACATGATGGATATTATGTTGCATTTATTAAAGAAGATTATTGAAATGTGACCTTACAAACTGGAATTTAAGCATACATGTACTTAATGATGCACTTAATGGATTAAATGTGCCCCATTTACAAACACAGTGTGAAAAAAAAAGTTTACAATTAAATTTGTATTTAATGAGCATCTAATACAAGTTTTATTATTCACGAGTCTTCTGGCTAGATCTTCTAGACACTCCTTGAACTCTAGGCATGGAGTTGTTTTGTGGTTGACGGCAAAGTTGAGGCCTTTGTTTAGAAGTTGAAGTTCTGTGTCGTTGAGTGTCTGGTCAGATCTGTTGATTACAAGGTTAGGATGAGCTGCATTGTTGTGTTTCACTTCACATTGTTGTAGTTTCCTGAGTTGATCTAGTTTCTTATTGTGTATAGACACTAACAAACCCAACAACAGTACATTACACTGCAGTTTAACTTTTGTTCCTGAAACCAGCTCAAGAATTATCCACACTTGGACTAAACTAGCCATTAAACACAATATTCGTGTCAACGTCAAATTCTCACAAAAACCCGGCCCTAAATTAAAATCGTTACTAAACCAA